GGGGGTGTCACAGCTCCTCTGCATGGGTTGGGTTGAGGATGACCCTCTGTAACGATGATCATATGCCATTGGTCAGCTGTCTGCCTGAGCACTCCTGTGCTGGAGTATTTTAACTGGATGGTGAGCCCTGCTGTTGCTTGAATTCCCCCCTAGTAGAACCCTGCCCCACCAAGCACCCAGGCATCCTAGAGCCACGGGAGGCGCTGGGGCTAGAGGCGGGGCTGGAGGCGGGGCGTGCAGTCCCGCCCCTGGGTGGGGCCTCTGGCTCTAGGAGGGGTGCACTGTGGGAGGAGTCAACTCCCCGACTGGAGCCCTGGAGGAGCGTCTGTTTGGTCAGCTCTCTGGAGGGATCACCCCACTTGGGCCCAGGAGCCACCTGGAGCTGGCATGCAGCAGGGACCTACGCAAAGTTTACTTCCAGTGGTGACTGTGAGCTCAGAGGTACAGCTGAAGGTCAGTGTTCTGAGGAAACGGCGGGTGAAGTGCAGACCCTGCCCAGTCCTGGAGGGCCACACGGACTTTTCACCCCACCAACTGCCTTTGCCAGGCTGGAGTCCCCTCCCATCCATCCTGATTCCTGCCCTGGGTCCCCCACGTTGGGCCCCAGTGAGCACAGCTCTGGGTACAGCAGTCCATCTTGGGTCCTGCTGGACCCTGAGCACTTGGATCCACCAAGCCAGCTCCCAGCAGAAGAAGGGAGTGATCTCCGGGCCTCCCAGGGTTCCAGAACTCTAGACAGTGAGTCCCTGCTGGAGACCAGAGTCCAGGTTGGCACCTGGTCCCTGCCAACTGGGCAAGAGCAGGAAGAGGATGTGGGGGAGGAGTGCCCTATCTGCACAGAGCCCTACGGGATGGGCGAGCACCGCCTGGCCCTGCTAAACTGTAGACATGGCCTGTGTGTGGGCTGCCTGCACCAGCTGCTGGGCACCACCCCCAGCACCGACCTGGGCCGTGTGCGCTGCCCGCTGTGTCGCCAGAAGACACCTGTGCTGGAGTGGGAGATCTGCCGGCTGCAGGAGGAGCTGCTTCAGGCTGACGGGCCCCAGTGCCCACCACCTCCCTCACCCCCAACACCTCCCCTTCGTGGCCCTGGGCCCTGGGGCTTCCTAGAACACCGCTACCAGCTGCGTTTCCTGGCAGGGCCTGTGGGTGGCCGGGGCTGCCTGCCCTTCCTGCCTTGCCCGCCCTGCCTAGGCACCTGGTTGTGGGCATTGCGGGAGCGTGGGCCCTGCGCCCGCCGCCTGGCACTACTGAGCCTGATAGTGCTTGAGCTGCTGGGGCTGCTGCTCATCTTCATGCCACTCATGCTGCTGGGGCTGCTCTTCATGCTCCTGGACCGCTCTGGCCGCTGAGCAGAACCCAGGCACTGGCCTTCAGTCTAGACCTACTATCACTGAACCCAAGACCAGGACCCAGGGCTACCCAGAAGCCCGACTCTACCAGAAAGCCCCCTCCCCCCCGCCCCCGTGACCCAACTCTGACTGAGCCCAAGGACATCATGCCAAGGACAGCTGCTAGAGGAGGCCAGTCCAGCAGAAATGTCTGTGAGCAGGGCCCCACATGCTTGCAAGTGACAGTCTGGCCATGGGCACACACTGGCCCACACCTCCCCCTTCCAAGGTCCAATTGAGCAGGCAGATGTGAATGTGAACAGAGATCTGGCAGTGAGTCTGTTCCCTGGAGAGGACAGGGACTCACCTATTGTGCAGGCCGGTGTGCATCCCTGAAGGTCAGGGTGGCCAGCAGGAGGAGCCTGCACTGTACATGCCCAACCTGGGCCAGGACCAGAGGGTGGTCTGGAGCATCCAGGGTGCCACCACTAGATGTGTGTTGTAAGGCACAAGGGCCCATGCAGGCCCTGGAGCTTGAGGAGTGCCAGGCCCAAGCCCCTGCTCTGCCTGCCTGCACCACCTCCCACCTCCAAGCCTAGGGCCCTCACCTGAAAAGGGGGACAGCTGTGGCCTACCTCACAGCTTGTTGGTGATGTAATGTGAGGCCCAGCACTGTGTGCTAAGTGCTGTCCTGGCAAAAGTGGTTCTCAATAAACAGTAGCTGCTAATACCATTGTTGCCCCGCCTGTCCTTGCTGTTACCCCACCTCCACCATCCAGGCTGCTGTCCCTACAAAGTACCCTTGCAAAGGTACTTTCTACAAACCCAAGTGGTCCAGACATCAAGACAGGAGACCTGGGTCCTTGTACTCTCATCACAGTCTTGGGCCATCTGGAAACCACTGCTCATAACTGGCCCAAAGGTTTTTCCCACATAACCGTGGTAGACCAGCACAGGTACTCTGGACCAGATGAGTTCTCCATACAGCCACTGGCTGGTGCCAAGGGAAGGTCCTAGTTACCCGGCTGGGCAGTTCTGCACACTTGCCACACAGCCCTCCGTGGTGCACACTAGCAGCCCTTCTGCACCAACATGAGGGGGACTTGTTCACAGCCAGACCCGGTCCTCCCAAGGACATGCTCACCAAGCTTGAGAAAGCCAACCCTGAGCAGAAAGTGGCCTCCCTCTTGCAGGTGCCCACCCTGTGCCCAGGCTTGGGCATAGCCCATAGCTCTAGTCCAGGGGACAGGTACAAACTTTGGCAAAGAGTTTTAATGGCAAAGTTGGCTGCAGCGACAATGCCACATGGGGTGGGGCCAGAAGCCATAGTGGGTGAGGAAGGGTCGGCAGGCAACAGGGCAGGGCCAGATCCCTGAAGCAGCATCGAGCGAGGACTGGCACGCAGTAGTGGGCAGGTGGGCACTACATGATGGAGCAGGCGGACAGCGGGTTCCGCACGTGGCAGGTGCACGCAGCTCCACAGTACTGCCGGAAGGTCTGGTAGCAGCTGCCCTCAGGCTCACCCCCCCACTGGCCACCAGATGGGGCAGTCAGTGCCTCCGGAGGCAGGCGACTCAAGATGGATGTATTGACAGCCAGCGCAGCCAGGCCATAGTCAGTGAAGAGCACAGTCTCACGGCGGCAGGTGGGGCAGGAGATGAACTTGTACTTGGGGCAGGACTCATAGAGAATCTGCAGGCACTGCTCACACACAGAGTGCAGGCAAGATAGCACTCGGGGCCGCCGCTGGGTAACGTTGTATGTGTGCCCGCAGGTGGGGCACTCCAGGGGCTCACCTGCTGCAACTGTCCCAGTCCCTGATGAAGAAGCCACAGAGGCAGCCGGTGCAGGCCGAATCACATACTGATTCACAATGACCTCGTCCGCTGGCGCCACTCGAGGGAAGCCCAGTTCAGAGCTGCCCTTGCGGGGCCGCCGTGGCAAGGGTGGGGTGTGAGGTGCCCCTTCCAAGGCAGGCATGTCCCCCCCACATGCCTGGTTGACAATGATCTCTGTGTGTGAGGGCCAGGCACGCTTGGGTGCCAGAGTGGGGGTGGGCCGGGGTGCAGGTGGGAAGCAGGGGGCAGCTGCCGGGAGTTCAGGGAACTTTTCAGGATGGACAATTTTCATGGCCTCCATCTTGAGGATGACATGTGGGCCCTTCAGGCAGGACATGAGGAGGCCCGGCCAGCCACTGCCCACCTCGGGCCCAGGGTCAGCAGGCATTCGGCTGTCTGCAGTCAGACTGGACTTTCGGGTAGGAGAGGGTGTTGGTGAGGGACGGGGAGGAAGAGAGGGAGCAGCATCCTGGTCCTGCCAGGCCTGGTGGGGACCCCGGCAGCCCCGTGGACTCCTAGGGGCAGCCGGTGAGAGCTGGGGGGTCAGCCCCCCGCCCAGTGGCCACAGTGGCTTCTCTGGTCCAGTCCTGGGAGGAGGAGGAAGTGGTGGTGGTGGGGGAGGCAAACGGGGACAGGGAGGTGTAGGGGGCTGCCCTGGGCTGGAGGTCTGACCTAGGGGCTCACCCAGGGTCGCTGGCTGCTGAGGCTGGCAAGGGGGCGTGAGGGGAGCCCCCCCAGCAGCCAAGGTCAGCAATCCCTGGGCCGGGACATCGGGGCAGGCAGGGGCTAGGTGGGCCCCATGGCTCCAGGACAGGGCGCCCAGGGAAGGCAGCTAGCCTGGGCACTGGTTGCAGGAGGACCTGGGCGGCAGGCTCCGCAGCACGATCAGAGGAGAGGCCTGCACCAGGCCTGAGCTGAAGGTGAGAAATAGCATGAGGGGCGCACTCCGGCCCATTTCCACCCTCGCCCTCACTCCCTCCCTGCACAAAGGACGGACGCCCGACCTCTGACCCTGACCTCGGGCGTTAAGAACCCGACCTCCGCGGGACCCAGTTCCCTCCCCAGTCCCCGCCTCCAAGGCCAAGACTGGGTCCGGAGGGCTGACCCAGCCAGGG